TTGGATTGGCAGGCAGGGAATGTTCAGCACCGTGTGGAATCACATCGGTGGGCTATCAGTGTCCTCACACTGGCTGCCTGGATGATGCCAAGCAAAGGGGGAATTCCCCAGATCCCAGAGGTTTGGGAGCATCTTCATGGAATAACAGAATCCCAGAATGGTTTAGGTTGGGAAGGACCTTAAAGCTCATCCCGTTCCACCCCCTGCCATGGGCAGGGACACCTCCCACTAGCCCAGGTTGCTCCAAGCTCTGTCCAACCTGGCCTTGGACACTTCCAGGGATCCAGGGGCAGCCACAGCTTCTCTGGGCAACCTGTGCCAGGGCTTCCCCACCCTCCCAGGGAAGAATTCCTTCCCAATATCCCATCTATCCCTGCCCTCTGGCACTGGGAAGCCATTCCCCCTTGTCCTGTCCCTCCATCCCTTGTCCCCAGTCCCTCTCCAGCTCTCCTGGAGCCCCTTTAGGCCCTGGAAGGAGCTTTCAGGTCTCCTTGGAGCCTTCTCCTCTCCAGGTGAATCCCCCCAGCTCTCCCAGCCTGGCTCCAGAGCAGAGGGGCTCCAGCCCTGTCCCCATCCAGCCTCATCCTTCCAGCCCTGCGGCTTTGGTTTATTTAAGCTGCTGCTACAGAAGGAATTTGAGGCTGCCTTGAGAGGTCCATTAGTCAGGTGTGGATTAACAGCTGAGATCTGACCTCCCACATTATCCTGGTGCATTCTTTTTTTCCCTAAATCAGGCTCCAGCTGAGCAAAGGAGCTGTAAAAAAAAACTCTGCTAAACAGTGCAGAGCTGGATTTTCCCCCTCTGGCCATGGAGTGGCTCCTTTCACAGAGGGAAAAAAACCCCAGAAAACAAAAAACAACCAAGAAATCAAAAAGGACAGGCAGCGAATGCTCTGACATTTTGGGGGGCCAAGCAGAAATTTGTGGTGCAAATCACCTGAGGAGGCAATTTGAGATGCTGCCTTGCTGCTGGAGAGCCCTGGGTGATTCATGAGCCCTAAATCTCCAGCAGCCTGTGCTTTCACTCTCCTTGCCTTGCTTGCTGCTCGGAAGGCTCCAAGATTTACTGCCCTGGGAATGGGTGTTGGGAAATGGAGGGATTTTCTGAGCCTCCTGCTTATCACCGGCAGCAAGGCTAATCCATTTTTCCTTCCTTTTTTTTTCCCCCCCCTTTTTTATTTTTACCGTGGGGCAGAGTGACACAGAAAAATTAGAGAGGGAAATCTGCATCCCTGACTCCTTCCCCAAGAAAAACTGCCCCGGGGCAGGAATTTTGGGTAGGAAGGGGCTGAGATCATACATCATCCAAGATGGGAATGAGGGCTGGATGGGGCTTGGAGCAAGCTGGTCTAGGGGAAGGTGAGGGGGTGGAATGAGATGGTCTTCAGTCAGGTGTATGTCCGTTCCCCCTCAGCCCAATTTTCTCTCGGAGAGCTGTGCTTTGTATCCAAACTCAATGCAATTGTCCTGGGGGAATGAAACCACCAGGGTTTCAGTGCCTTCTCCTCGAGTCCCAGGATAATTGGGAGCAACAACAGCAGCTCTTCGGAGCAGTTATTTACCCAGTTGGAAACCAGGGAGGGACAAGGGGTTATTTCCCTCCAGACAAAGGGCATTGGATGTCTGGGATGCGGCTCATCCCGGTGAGAGGAAAGGGTTGCTCCTCCCTTGCCCTCAGGCAGGGTCTCAGCCACACCTAAATGTGTCTTCAGGGAAGCAGAGACAGGGGACGGAGTATCTCTTCCCAAATCCCAGAATGGTCTGGGTTGGGAGGGAACTTAAAGTTCATCTCGTTCCACCCCCTGCCATGGGCAGGGACACCTTCCACCAGCCCAGGCTGCTCCAAACCCTGTCCTTGGACACTTCCAGGAATGGGGCAGCCACAGCTCCTCTGGGCAACCTGTTGTGGTTAACTCGATGACCTTACAGGTCTTTTCAAAATTAGTGATTCTGTGATTCCTTGGCACCTTCGGAGGGCAGCAGCAATCTGGGCACATGGAGTCCCAGATGCAGCACAGAAACCCCAAAAGCTGCTGAAACCTCAAGCCCTAAAATGATCAAAGGAGGAGATCCTGCTTTCCTCACTCTGCGCACGTAGGATTTTATTCCAGGCATCCAAGCAGTCAGTTAGGACGCCGAACCTGAGCGTGGATGTTAAGGGAGGAGTGTAGACGCTGTTTGGCTGGATCTGGAACGCGAGGCAGCCCCGTGTCCCCTCCCGATGGGACGCAGCACTCGGGGCCGGGCCAAAATGACGTCTGGCATCTCAGCAAATCCCGGGAACAAAGGCGAGGAGTTTGCTGCTTTTGTCCCTGCCTGCTCCAGTCAGGTTTGTTCCTCCTGTCGAATTTCGCGGCTTGGCAGGGAAAAAGGGACGGGCAGAGTTAGGCCTGCAGTGCAAGCATAGCACTAAAAGAGTGATTTTTGGTAAAAATCCCAGCCTAACCCACCAGAAACCCTTTGTGCTCGCCTTGCTTTAACGTGCAAGGCCGTCCTTGGTCCGTGGGAGTTTGCAGAGGACATTTCCAGGCAGTTTCACACCGAGGAGATTCCTCTTTATCCAGCAAAAATGGGTAAGCTGTGGCATTCTGTCCCAGGATGCTGAGAAGGAGAAAAGCCTGTAAAGCTTCCTTGTAGGTTTGCATGAATTCATGGAGGGAAAAAAAAAAACTCGCCAAAAATTCTAATTCGCACCTGCCCTGGCCCCATGCTCCTCCAGCTGCTTCCACTCCTGGCTGCTGGGCCACATGGATTTTGGGCTGCCTTGGAAAGGCTGTTTCCAGACCTTTGGAGGAAGTTTGTTTTTCCTCTGTGGCTGTTTCAGTGTTTCCTGGGGATGAGGCTGTAAAGTCGGCTTTAAGCTGGTCCTTGGAGGACTTTGCTTGGCCTGAGGAGGCATCTGAGGTCATGATATGGAGCTGAGCTGCTGTGCTGCAGATGAACGGATTATTTCTCACCCCTGCATTAGGAGCTCTGTGGATTTAGTCATTTCTCCACTATATTGTTGCTTTTATCCACCCCTCCATCCCTTTCTCCAGCCTCCCCTCCACACACCCCTCCATCCCTCCCTCTGCACATCCCTCTGTCCTCCATCCACCCAGGAGCTCTTGGAGACACCTCTGAGGCTCCAGACCTTGGTGCTTGTCCCAGGAGCCTGCGTGCTCCGGGAAAGAGCGGGCAGGGATGGAGGAACCTGCTCCAAGGGACACGGGGTTGGACGCTGGCTGGTGAGACAAAGCACAGGAAAACACCCAAGTGAGGCTTTTCTCCAGAATCCACTGGAGAAACTGCTGGCAGGAGTGTGAATTGAGCACTTACAGGGGTAATCTTGTGTGAAATGTTCAGTAACGGTCTGTCCGTCCCTCTTCATTCCCCTGTGCCCCTCTGCTCTCCCCCATTAACCCTTTCCAGGGCTGTCACCCTCCTGCAGCCCCGGCTTTCCCGGGAGGAACGAGTCCCATTAAATCCGCGATGCTGTTTTCCCTCAAGAGTTGACATCCAAAAGGCTCCCCTGTGACTCACAGGCTATTCAGCCCTTAACGATCCTGCAGTGCCTGGCCTCGTTATCCGGTGAGTGGGATGCAAAATCTTCGGAAGGGAGAAGAGCAGATGAAGGGGGGAAGGAGAGGGGCACAAGGATGCTGACCACGACAAGGTGCACTGACCCCCAAAGCCTCCGCCAAGGGCTCCACAAACCGGGATGAGACTTTCCTACACCGCCAGTGCTGCCTCTCCGAGGAACTCATCCATGAAACCCTCCGAGCCAACTGGAGACACCAGTCCCGTGCCTTGTCCCACCAGTGGCTATTCCAGAAGCGGCTGCCGCAGTTCTGGCGCTCAGCGCAGCCTTCGGGCTGTTCCCGCATCCCAGAGGAAATGCCATTAATTATCCCAGCGATCCCCAAGAACGGGGGCAGCCCTAATTACAGCCCCGGCCTGTTCACTTCGCTTGGGTTGGTGTTTCTGCTCGTAACGCAGAAACAAAAGGCAGCGGACTAAGGCAAGTGACGCCGCTATGAAGGAACGAGCAGGGGAGGGAGACAGGATCTCGAATGCTCCAGGAGTTGGGATGGTCTCTGCAAACCGATTTTCCCCCTCTCGAGGTCATCAAATTCGGCAAAAACCTCTGGCACAAGCTGCTGCTCCAGGGTTTCGCTTTGCCTGGGTGAGGAAGGGCTAATTGGAGGCAGATTAAAAGTCACTCTTCGGGATAATCCGTGAGGGGCTGTGGAAGCGCGGGAAGGATCGCTCCGTTGGCTCTGGATGTGTGAGGACTCCGGGGCTCTTTGTGTTCCGAAAAAAAAAAAAAAAAAAAAAAAAAAAAAAAAAAAAAAAAAAAAAAAAAAAAAAAAAAAAAAAAAAAAAAAAAAAGAATTAAAAAAGATGTTTTGAAGCGCAAGATGAGCTGGGGGAAGGGAGATGGGATGGGGGAGAACTGGGAAGAAATAATTGCCATGTCTGAAAACAGTTACTATGGCAGCAACAGTCTTCGCGCTGCCGGAGCGAAATGTTGGGGAGCAGCGAGCGGTCCCTTTGTCACATCCTCAGACACACATTTAGATGCTAATGCTGGCTTTAACCTTGGCTGCTTAACCTTGATAGGCTGGGGAGGGGGGGAGGTAGGGGAGAAAAAGCAAGGAAGGGGGGAGAGTATGGAAAAGATGGTTTTCCTCTCCCTAAATTTGCCACCGAATGGACTTGGCAGACTCCTCTCAGCTGCCATTAACACTGTTATTTCTACACTTAATATTCCGCGGAGGTTTTAACAGCTTATTTATGGGTAGCTGGCATTAGCTGCAGCATAATTCACCGCTGAGACGCTCCTGTTTATCTCCATCCCCTTGGGATTGTCTCATATAAGGCCGCTTTTGAGCACATCCGCAGGTTTGATCGGCCTGCCTATCTAATCTTGCCTTTTTTTATAACCGGAGGGGTGCAAAGGAGGGAAGTTTTTGGTGGCCTGTTTCTCTTTTCTCGAGGCTCAAAGCTGTCTCCAGCAGCAGGGATGAAGGAGGAGGGAGAGGGGGAATTCCCTGGGTCGTGCTACCTGACACAACACCGAGGGCTGAAACAGCAACTCCTGCACTCCTGGACCCGAGCGCGGGCTCGCAGCCCGAAGGTAAATTCCTAAACCGCAGCCCGACTGCACACAGATTAGCCCCGAATTCTGGGAGCAGCCCGGGATGCCCTCGCTTTGGGATTATCCTCACAGCAGCCTTTAAGAAAGCTTTTGCTGGAGGCATTCGGGCAGGAGAGATGAGAGTGGTGCCAGTGCCGTGTCTGCTGCTGGCAGGGCTCACAGATATGACATTATTCTTCTATTTCTGACATTTTTTTTCCTCTTTAATGCTCCAGCTCCTGGAGTCGGGTGATCACTCGCGGCTTCCTCCACTTGCTCTCGGAACCTTATTGCTTTGGTGTGGTGGCAAAGTAAGACCTGAGCTCACACCAGCTCAAAGATCAGTCGGCCAAGGACAACCCCGCTGCACAAAATATTGTCATTTTCCAGCCCATCCAGCACCTGTGTCTTGATTTTGGGAGGGTGGTGCTGCTCACACGTGCCAAGGAGCATTTCTCCCACCTGCACATGGCTGGGGATGGAGCTCCTTGCACTTTTCCCGCTGTCACCACATGGTGATTTCCACCAAAACTGTGCCCAGTGTCACCTCCAGAGACTGTCACAGGAGCTGCCTGTATTTTTAATGATGGCATGTGTAGCCTTATCTCCATGCAAGGCCACAACACACATTCTTGGGATGAAATATGGATAAGAGAAATGATCCCACTCCAGCCCGACAAATCCTCACCGCATGCTGTAGGGGGGGAAAGCACCTTAAATTAAAAAAAGCAGTATCTGTCTTCTGCAGTGCACTTCTTTCTCTGAGCCTTTCTGGTTAAGCTCTCAGATACAGTTGATATTTATTTTACAAATGCTGGGGAAGAGGGGATGAGTAACGTTGTAGGAACCACCCAAAAGCTGCTGCTTTTTGGCCCAGGAGCAAGGTCAGAAATAAATGCAGCAGCACTGGCACAGAGAAGCTCTGGCTGCTCCATCCCTGGAAGTGTTCCAGGCCAGGTTGGATGGGGTTTGGAGCAGCCTGGTCTAGTGGAAGGTGTCTGTGCCCAGGGCAGGGCGTGGGACTGGAAGTAGGTCTTTAAGGTCCCTTCTATGAGTAGCTGGGACAGCAACTGCATGGCACAGTGTGGTGGGCCCTGTGGGGCTGCCCAAACACGGAGAGCTCAGGGGCTTTAAGGTGTGTTGAGGGCATTCACAACACTTACAAAATATGAGACACAAAAGCCATTAACAGCAGTGATGGATTAACACCAGCCCTGCCCTGGATCCAGCACAGGGGTGCTCTGGGAGTTTGTCACAGCTGCGGGGGACATGGGTGCTGCATTTCCCAGCACTGCACTTCCCAGGAAGAGAACATCCATCGCTCTCCTGCATCCCGCTCAAATCCCCGCTGGTGCCAGCGCTCCCTGCAGAGCTGTGCCTGAACAGCCTCTCAATCCCCCCCACTTCCCTCAGCCTGGTGCAGCAGAAGGTCCCTCCTCGTGTCTCACATGCAATGAATAATCCTAGAATCCCAGAATCCCACACTGGTTTGGGTTGGAAGGATCCTTAAAGCTCATTTTGTTCCACCCCCTGCCATGGGCAGGGACACCTTCCACTAGCCCAGGTCGCTCCAAGCCCCGTCCAGCCTGGCCTTGGACACTTCCAGGGGTGGGGCAGCCACCCCCTGAATAACACCGTGGCTTGGCTACTGTTTTTAGGGTTTTTCACCGCTTTCTGTGGCCAGTGATGATGCCGGGCATAAGGATAACCAAGCGCTCGGCACAGGGGGATCTCGCTGCCAGGGGCCCCCGAGGAGCAGAAGTGCAGGCGGAGCAGTGCAGGCAGGAGGAGCAGTGCAGGTGAAGTGCAGGCAGGGGCGGTGCAGGCAGGAGCGATACGGGCAGGACGGGAGGCGGAGCGGGAGGAAGGCGGCGGCGCAGGCCCTCCTCCTCCTCCTCCTCTTTCTTCTCCTCCTCTTTCTCCTCCTTTTTCTCCTCCTCCTTCTCCTCCTCCTCCTGCCGGGCGGGGCGGGGGTCTCCAGTGCCCGCGCCGTGCTGCCGCGTGGAGCCGAGCTGCGTGTTCCCCGATCCCGATCCCCGCTCCCTGATCCCGGTCCCCGTGCCCGAGCCGTGCCCCCGCCGCGGGCCGGCGGCGCGGGGATGGGCGCGGGGCTGTGAGCGGGGCGTGAGCCGTGGCCATGGGGAACATCTCGTCCAACATCTCCGCCTTCCAGTCCCTGCACATCGTCATGCTGGGCCTGGACTCGGCGGGGAAAACCACGGTGCTCTACCGGCTGAAGTTCAACGAGTTCGTCAACACCGTGCCCACCATCGGCTTCAACACCGAGAAGATCCGGTTGAGCAACGGGACGGCCAAGGGCATCAGCTGCCACTTCTGGGACGTGGGCGGGCAGGAGAAGCTGCGCCCGCTCTGGAAGTCCTACAGCCGCTGCACCGATGGCATCATCTACGTGGTGGACTCGGTGGACGTGGACCGGTTGGAGGAAGCCAAAACGGAGCTGCACAAGGTGACCAAGTTCGCGGAGAACCAGGGCACCCCGCTGCTCGTCATCGCCAACAAGCAGGACCTGCCCAAGTCGCTGCCGGTGGCCGAGATCGAGAAGCAGCTCGCCCTCCACGAGCTGACCCCTTCCACCACGTACCACATCCAGCCCGCCTGCGCCATCATCGGCGAGGGGCTCACGGAGGGCATGGACAAGCTCTACGAGATGATCCTCAAGCGCAGGAAGTCCCTCAAGCAGAAGAAGAAGCGGTAGAAGCCCCGCCGAGGCGGGGAGGGATGGAGGAGCAGACAAAGGAACCGAGGGGGAGACAGAACCAAAGCGATTCTTCTGGGTTTAATTGTTATTTCCCCCCCCCTTTATTTTTTTTCCTCCTTCCCCAACGAACAGACAATAGTGGTGGTAACAAAGCGGCTCCCGCCAGCCGAGCCCAGATCCCGGAGCTCCGCTCTCCCACCCGCTCCTGAGGGTCTGATCCGGACTCCTTTGGGCTGGAAACATGCAAAACCGGGGTGATTCCCCCCGCTCCACCCTCCAGGACCACCGAGCCTTTGTGTGCCGGGGGGACCAACAGGGCAGGACCCTGTTGAAGCGCGTTCGAGAGGAGCCCAGTGCGCTTTTGGTCTCCAGTGTGTGCATTTTGGGGCGGGGGGTGTCGATGCCAACCCCCCACATGCATTTCGGGGGCAGGGGATGCTTTGGGGGGGGGGAGGTATGGGTGCACTCTGGCTCGGCAAGGTCAGCGGGGAGGGGTCTCGCAGCTGCGCCCCGATACCCGCCCGTATCCCTGCATCCTCGGATCCCTGCATCCCCGCATCCCTCCCCCGCGGTCGGCGGTGGGAAGGGGTGTTGGAAACTTGAGGGGGGGTTGGACCAGCAGAAAATGTCGGGGGTTGAGGGGGTGACGGGTAAGAGGAGACCCACCCGCCCTGGCTGGTGTTCTAGGGTGCAGAGCAAGGACAGGCAGCCTTTGGGGTGGGGGAAGGAAGGATGCGGCGCGGGGGGGGCTGAGCAGCTGCTGAGTGGTGCTGAGCTTTAAGCTCTTCGTTTATAAAAAGGGGGGGGGGGGAACGCCAAAAAAAAAAGCGCCGATTTTTTTTTTTTTTGAAGGCTGCTGGAAGCGCTGGGAGGGTTGTCCTGGACCACTCCCCTCAAAGGCTGGGTTGTGTCACCTTCTGCAGCAAAGCCCCCGGCCCGGCTGTGTGCTGTCCCCAGGCAGAGGGTACTCCCGGGTGCAGGGTTGGAGGTGATCCAAGCCAGGGGTTGGTTACTGAATCTACAAAAAAAAAAAAAAAGAACAGCTGAGTTTGTGGTTCTGGTCACTGTGCTGCTCTGCAGTGGGGGCAGGAGGCCAAGTCAGGTTTTAAGGAGGGGGTCATGGCAGGGCAGAATGGACGGACAGAGGTGGCCAGAGCTTGTAAAAGTCTCTGCTGGAAAGGGAAAATGACAGGGCGTGAGGAGACACGGGAGGGAGGTGCAGCTTTGGGGGGGGGTGTAGGTTTTTAACAAAGATTTAAATCTGGTTAAAAGCCTCTCGTTGCCCACGGTAGCCATATGGGCAAGCTCTGCCTGCAGAGCCACCCGGGCAGCGTCAGGCCTTGCCACCTCCTTCTGCAGGTGAACATTTTGGCACCCGGATGGGACTGGGGACCAAAATCCACTTGCTGTCTGTGTTTTAGCTCTCTGCAGGAGAAAACCAGGGGCCTGGCTTCCCACAGAGCAGAAGCAGGCAGCCCTCAGGGGCCAAATACTCTGAATTTTGAGCCAGGCAGGATTTTCTGGTGATTTTACACCAGCCTTCCCTGAGCACCGAGGGGAAACCACCGAGCAGACAAAAGAAAAATGCCCTCCGGCTTTCGGGGAGTCGATTCTCCCCTTGCAGGACGAGCTCAGCACCTTCCAAATAGCTCTTTTTGTTTGTTTGTTTTTGGTTTTGTGAGGAAACAAATGTTGCAGCCGAGTTGTGTTTCTTCTCTCGCTGCGGGGTTTTGAGTTCCCGACGCGAGTCCCGACTTGTGCACCGAGCGAGTGGGCTGGTCCCATCACTGCAGGTGGCTCTGTTCCCACTTCCTTGGCTTCCCCTGCTTTGTCTTCACGTCCAACACTTTGGTACTTGCCGTCGAGAGAGAGAGAGAGAGAAAAAAAGGAATTATTTATTTTTGATGCCACAGAAGCCACGTGTATTACCCCTTTTTTTGGAGAGTGACCCATTTTAGAGGTGAAATGGAAAGCTGTGTTGACACCCCCCCCCTGCTCCAGAGGGAGCAGGTTTCAGGAATGACACGTTGTGGGTTTTCCCTCCTCGCTGTTTGGTTTAGCAAACAGTGGCATGGAAAGCCTGGTGGTATTTACGGAGCTCCCATATCCTGGGAGTTTGTTCTACCCAGCTGAGCATCCCCTTGGAGAAATGGCAGAGCACTGGGAGGTGCAGGTGGGACGCTGTGCTGGTGCTGTTCCCACCAGCTCTGCTTTCTGCAATAATTAAAGAGACTTTTCCAATGAGTAGCTCATGGCTTCCGTGGTATTTCTGTCCCGTTCCACAACCATACACTGATTTTTCCCCGTGTGAAGACGTCACCTACGGTGGGCTACAAGAAGAGGTTCCTCAGCAGGACATCTGAGGGAAACTGTCTGAGGTCTTTGTTAGGTTGTGTGTCTTCTCAAAATATGATTCCATGACCTGGAATTTTTTTAGCAGGTTTCATTTCCCCAGGTCCCTCTGGCGTGTTCCCATCCGTGTTGGATATCCCGCTGCCATCAGTCTCTGTTCCTCCTGTCTTTTCTTTTTCTTTTTCTTTTTTTTTTAAAGAGGCAGACATAATGCTGTGAACTGAAATAAATTATTTATACAATGAAAGGGCCTGATAAAAAAAAAAAAAAACAAACTCGAAGTGTTCTGCTCATTTCTCAATCTCAGGGCTGCGTTTTGCAGTTGGTTCTTGTCGAAGGAGGTTCCTCCCGCTCCCCCAGCGAGAGGAGATGTGGGATGGAGGATCCAGTGGCACGGATCTGTTGCCTGGCAGCCCTCTGGGACATGGGGGACATCCATAATTTGGTGGTTAATGAAATCTGAGCTCTTCTGCAGGTCACTTAATATCTCTGCATCTCTGCTGCTGTCTGTGAAAGAGGAAAATGCAGTTTGGTTGGGGGGAGTTTCTTCCATCAGCTAGTGTGATTTTAAATCCATGTGAAGGAGGCGATCAGGGAGTGACACAGTTTGGATTTTTGCTCGGTTGTGGCTTTTTTTAAACACGTGGCCTCAGGCAAGTGGTGTCAGTGGCAGAGGGCCAGGTCTGCAGGGGTTAAAACACCGGTTGAGAGCAGGATGCTGCAGACAGAGCTGGAGGCTCCCTCTGCTCCTGGGTGGCTGCTGACACAGGAAACCCAGGGTGACATTTCGGAGAGGAGAGACAGAGCTGGCTGGTAAAGGACTTTTTCTTCCCTTTTTTAAAGATGACGACACGGCAGCCAGAGGGAAGTGCCAAGGCCAGTTTGTGAAAGCGTGGTGAGCCCTCAGCCTGCTGGGGCCTGAGGGGGGGACATCCTGGCTACTCTGCAGGGTCGGGATGGGGGGTCTGAAGGGTGACAGGACCTCAAAATGAATGGCTGGAGCTGTGTCAGGGGAGGGTTAGGATGGTTCTCAGGAAAAGGTTCTTCCCCAGAGGGTGGTCGGGCACTGACCAGGTCACGGCTCCAAGGCTGCCAGAGCTCCAGGAGCGTTTGGACAACGCCGTCAGGGGCAGGGTGGGATTGTTGGGGTGTCCTGGGCAGAGTCAGGAGCTGGACTTGATCCTTGTGGATCCCTCCCAACTCAGGAGCTTTTGTGATTCCATGAACCCAAAGGCTTATCCAGCGCTGCAGCTGCTGAGCTCCTGCCAAGGCTCACCCAGAAGCTCCCTTGGAGCTGAGCTGGACCGTGACCTGTGGCATCCAAGGATGGAGCTGTGGAGTGCTCAGCTGCCTCCTGACCCTGCAGAGCCTCTGGAAGGTGCAGTTCCCCATGGGCTCCTCACACAGAGCATCAGCAGCAGGCTCCTGTCCCTCTGCCACACAGTCCTGTGCTCTTGGAGATGCTCCTGACCATCACTTCCCTTCACGCCTCTGGCCCCATTTTCCAGGCAGCAGGCAGGATGTTTCTCCTGGTTTCATGGATCTGAAAGCCCAGGAGTGGGTGCTGCAGTGCCTGCACCCTCCTTAGCATGCCAGGACTCACCCATCCCACCTGCTGGGAGCTGATTTAGGAGGATTTTCCTGCTGGCATGGAGGTGTGGACACTTGTTTTGTGTCCCTACACGGGCTTAATGGGGGAACCATCCCTTTTCCTGAGATGGAAGAAGAGCAACAGCCCTCAGGGTCTGGGCAGTAGCTTTGAGAGGCTGTGACTGTGTGTGTGTGACTGTGCAACTGGATCTACCCCCTCCCATGGACCGGAGAGGGGTTGGGATTTCTCCAGAGCCACTGGCTTGCGGGAAGGGGCGGGAGGGGTTGTGTCTTGTCGAAAGGGAAGCTCCTTGTGCTTCCAGCTGCAAGGGCAGACATCCTCCTTCGAGCAGCCTCTCCCCCTGGCCAGAGAGTGCTTTTGTCAGCAGGGGGCTTGCTGTGTTTGGGCCAGTTGTCATGAAAACATTGCACAAGGAGCTCAGTGACCTTGTGGTGCCCCGAGGCTGCTCGCTGGCCCTGGTTTATGGGTCTGCACCACCTCCCCGAGCAGCCAAACAGCGAGTGATGCTGGAACCCTGGTCCCCAGCACAATGTCTGGGGGCCCTGGGGCACGTGGAGCCCCAGGCCAGGGGGGCAGTGCCCCAGGATGTGCCCCTGCATGGGACCGGCCGGGAGGAAGAGCAGCGAGGAAGCAGCTGGGCTGTGGCTGCATCAGCTGAGAGAGACCTGGCACTTTCCAAATGGCAGAAGAGCCAAGAAGAGGATGGACCAGGGCTGGGGTGCAGCTGGGAGCGGCAAGGGACGGAGCGAGGACAGGAATAAGCAGAGATGAGCTCCCAACCTGTCCCCTGTTCCTCCTCTGCTAGTCCCTGACAGACCCCCCCTCTCTGAAGGCCACCAAGGAGGGTTGCTGAGCCATCTCCAAGCGCTCTCAAGGACAAGGGAGCCTCAACCACCCCTCTGATAGCCTGTGTGTCCCACTTTTCCACACACACAGCTTCCCTACATCTCCTTCATGCCCAGAACCCCTCTCTCCCAGGTTCTGCTTGGCCTGGTGGGCTCTCAGCTCCACAGGTCCTTCTGCCTTTGTTTCCCCACTTTGCCTCGTTAAGCTAAATCCTTCTGCTTTATTTCAAATGGGATTTCCTTCCCAAGCAAGGATCTTTAAAGGGATCATCTCGGCTAATGCGATCCGTAGGGCACCGGATCCTTGGAATATGGTGTCATGCAACCACAGCTATTGCATTGCACAGCACAAGGCCCTCCTGGTCAAATTTTGGGTGGGGTGAGGATGACCATCCCTTTAAAACAGACTAGAAACGATTATCAGGAGAAGAAAAAAAAAAAAAACCACAGTGATTCAAACCTGGTTTCCATTCAGTCAGCTCCATCCCAGAGTTTTTTCAATGGGAATTGCCCCAAGTCATGTGTGGTTTTTGTGTGATCCCTTTTGTGAGTCAGGCCTGTAGGACCTCGAACACTTTGCACACGTATCATGTAAAAAAAAAAAAAAAAAAAAAAAGTTGGTGCTGGGCTAGTAGGACAAAATTGAGCCATTTTAGCACAAGCAGATTCTTCCTGAGGAAGGTTGAGAGGGAATATGGAGAGCTCAGCCTGGGAATATTTGCTCTAATAAACCATTCTGTTTGTTTCAGCTTAGCTTGTGTTTGCTTCCCTCGGATATTTGAGGGAGATTCAAGGGAGGAAAGCTACGAAAACCCAGCAGCTCTCCAACAACTACATTAAAATACTGCTGGAAGGGGAGTTATGAGGCCTGGAAAACCCCCAGAGGTTGGTGTTGGTGCAGCCCAGGTGACCAGAAACAGTCCCACCTGCCAAATGACCCCCTCACCCTCCCTCCCT